AGGGTCGGCTCTTTGGTCCCGCCTCTCAACCATCAATCAACTGGTGAACAGGTTCCTGAGCCTATTTTGCTCTATCATAGCTACACTTCAAACTGTGTATTCAGTCCGCCCCACCCTTCTCTTTCTTGCTCAATCTCTGCCACCTGGTCATAGAAATTTATTAAACCTGTGATGCACGAGTTACCATCCCAGAACCCAGGCTGGTGGTGTGTTACAAAGTTCCTTCTCTCCAGATGTTCTCCAAGCTTGTATATCACCATGTTCTCCAAGCTTGTATATCATCATGTTCTCCAAGCTTGTATATCGCCATGTTCTCCAAGCTTGTATATCGCCATGTTCTCCAAGCTTGTATATCACCATGTTCTCCAAGCTTGTATATCACCATGTTCTCCAAGCTTGTATATCGCCATGTTCTCCAAGCTTGTATACCACCATGTTCTCCAAGCTTGTATATCATCATGTTCTCCAAGCTTGTATATCGCCATGTTCTCCAAGCTTGTATATCATCATGTTCTCCAAGCTTGTATATCGCCATGTTCTCCAAGCTTGTATATCACCATGTTCTCCAAGCTTGTATATCGCCATGTTCTCCAAGCTTGTATACCACCATGTTCTCCGTCACCCTGCATAGTATACATTAGGGAAACTGGCCTGTAGTTCGGTGCCTCTTGCCTGTCACCCTTTATTTAGCAACCCATCCTCCTGTTGGGATAGTACTTTTTGTAACTTATGTACACCATAGTACAAACGTCGGTACATGTACCATGGTCCTCATCCTTCCTATAAGTACTACCAAAATAAGAGGATTTAGCTGTATATTAGGAAATGTAGATGTTTATCTCTCAGAATGTTTGGTAATATGTTTATTGTTTGTGATGTGTGTCTATGTATGTATTAACACGATGTACTGAACGGGGTGAGAGTAGCTTGAGCTACCTCATCCCTTTGTGTGTATTTTACCTCAATAAACTTATTTCAATTTCAATTTCAATTAGCTGTATATTGGGACTATATTAGCCGTCTTCCAACTTTCTGGTATGCTTCCTGTTTCCAGTGGCATTATTCACCTTAGCGATTGGCATGCAAAGTGTTTCTGAACACCTTTTTTTTAGCATCTATGGCGAGGTTCCAGCAGCCTTGGTCACGTCTAGTTCTAGCAGACACCTAACCTCATCTCTGGTAATTTAAAAATCTTCAATCTCTGTGAACCTGTCCTCTCCCTTTATCGGGTTTATCACCTGTTCCTTCACCTGTCGTTTTCCTCCTCCTGTTGCTGTGGAGCAGATTTGGTTGGGTCTTGGTTTTATTTGCTATGTGGTTCTCATACTGTCTCTCCGCTTCTCTTCTCACATTGAGGTGCTCATTTCTAGCCTTCTGGTATCTCCCTTTTCTCTCTGGTGTTCCGTTATTTCTGTAGGTTCTCCACGTTCTTGTACTTAGTAGTGTGGTTGTTCACGGTAGTGTGATAGTTCACGGTAGTGTGGTAGTTCACGGTAGTGTGGTAGTTCACGGTAGTGTGGTAGTTCACGGTAGTGTGGTAGTTCACGGTAGTGTGGTAGTTCACGGTAGTGTGGTAGTTCACGGTAGTGTGGTAGTTCACGGTAGTGTGGTAGTTCACGGTAGTGTGGTAGTTCACGGTAGTGTGGTAGTTCACGGTAGTGTGGTTGTTCACGGTAGTGTGATAGTTCACGGTAGTGTGGTTGTTCACGGTAGTGTGATAGTTCACGGTAGTGTGGTAGTTCACGGTAGTGTGGTAGTTCACGGTAGTGTGGTAGTTCACGGTAGTGTGGTAGTTCACGGTAGTGTGGTAGTTCACGGTAGTGTGGTAGTTTCAGCGTAACGGCACCGTAAGTCAGGTGTGGGGTTGACTGAACACAAAGACCCACGAGCACTCACCGTCACGCACTCTCCCTCTCCGTCAAGACGCCATTTATACACCCACCTCTATAGAGATGGTGCACACACCTGTAAAGAAGGGACGCACCGTGGGCGGCGGCGAGTGGGCGTTGGTGTACACACCTGTGACGACGGGAGACGCCGGGGGGGTGAGTGGGCGTTGGTGTACACACCTGTGTCGACGGAAGACGCCGGGGGGGGTGAGTGGGCGTTGATGTACACACCTGTGTCGACGGGAGACGCCGGGGGGTGAGTGGGCGTTGGTGTACACACCTGTGTCGACGGGAGACGCCGGGGGGTGAGTGGGCGTTGGTGTACACACTTGTGTCGACGGGAGACGCCGGGGGGTGAGTGGGCGTTGGTGTACACACCTGTGTCGACGGGAGACGCCGGGGGGGTGAGTGGGCGTTGGTGTACACACTTGTGTCGACGGGAGACGCCGGGGGGTGAGTGGGCGTTGGTGTACACACCTGTGTCGACGGAAGACGCGAGGTGAATTTCCGAAATACACATGTGGGGACGAGCTGGGACTATGAAGCCGTCAATCACTGATTGGTAAATGAACTACGCGGCCGCACTCTCCACCCTTCACCGGTCCGCTGCCCCAGTCTCCTGAACGAGCCACTCGGACCAATCAGTAATTGTGAGTCAGTCGGAGAATGGAATGAGTTTCATCAGACCGTTCCGATAAGAGCTTGGGTGGGGGGGGGGGGGGGGCAGAGGCCCCCCGCCTCTTTCCCCCCCCCCCACCGGGTCATTACAGGTCACCCAAGGTCATACAGCATCTTGAGGACGACAAACGACCGGATCCGGACCTTAGGAAATAACGCAGTCAACCAATTCGTCAGTCGAGTATACCTTTATAAGAAACATATTGTTTGTCGGAACGTGTCCGACACCGAAGGTGGACACGGGAGCCTCACCAACATCGTGGGTGGAGACGGGAGCCTCACCAACATCGTGGGTGGAGACGGGAGCCTCACCAACATCGTGGGTGGACACGGGAGCCTCACCAACATCGTGGGTGGACACGGGAGCCTCGCCAACATCGTGGGTGGACACGGGAGCCTCACCAACATCGTGGGTGGAGACGGGAGCCTCACCAACATCGTGGGTGGAGACGGGAGCCTCACCAACATCGTGGTGGACACGGGAGCCTCACCAACATCGTGGGTGGACACGGGAGCCTCGCCAACTTCGTGGGTGGACACGGGAGCCTCGCCAACATCGTGGGTGGAGACGGGAGCCTCACCAACATCGTGGGTGGAGACGGGAGCCTCACCAACATCGTCGGTGGACACGGGAGCCTCACCAACATCGTGGGTGGAGACGGGAGCCTCACCAACATCGTGGGTGGACACGAGAGCCTCACCACCATCGTGGGTGGAGACGGGAGCCTCACCAACATCGTGGGTGGACACGGGAGCCTCACCAACATCGTGGGTGGACACGGGAGCCTCACCACCATCGTGGGTGGAGACGGGAGCCTCACCAACATCGTCGGTGGACACGGGAGCCTCACCAACATCGTGGGTGGAGACGGGAGCCTCACCAACATCGTGGGTGGAGACGGGAGCCTCACCAACATCGTGGGTGGACACGGGAGCCTCACCACCATCGTGGGTGGAGACGGGAGCCTCACCACCATCGTGGGTGGAGACGGGAGCCTCACCAACATCGTGGGTGGACACGGGAGCCTCACCAACATCGTGGGTGGACACGGGAGCCTCACCAACCAGAACACATGAAGCAGTCTTCAGATAATCCCAGTGGCCCTCTGACCGCCTGAGCAGGAGAGTCAACACTGACGGTAGTAATTAATCGTGGGATTAATGTTATAATCGCGATCAATGTGTATGTCACTCTCTCTCTCTCTCTCTCTCTCTCTCTCTCTCTCTCTCTCTCTCTCTCTCTCTCTCTCTCTCTCTCTCTCTCTCTCTCTCTCTCTCTCTCTCTCTCTCTCTCTCTCTCTCTCTCTCTCTCTCTCTCTCTCTCTCTCTCTCTTCCCCCCCCCCCGCCCTTCATTTCCCTGTCTCTCTAATACGCTCCCTGTCCCCCTCCCCCTCACCCCCACCTCTCAGCAACCCCCCCCCCCCACAATAACCTACATGTGTAATGAACTGTGAGTGTGCGCTGGCTACTCCACACGTCACCAGTCCTCGTCTAATTGTGCTTGCAGGGGTTGTGCTTTGATTCAGTTGGCCCGCCTGAGCTTCAGTACAAGTCCTGTACTGGTTCCATCCTTTATAATGTGTCTGTATCACCTGGCTACTTGGTTTATCACAAATGTTCCCTTGTTCGCGTACCATTCATTCCAAATAATGTTATTTCTGCCGTTATTAATTGCCCAAATAATTTTGTATGTGGTAATCATGTCTACTCTTACACTTATGTCTTCCAATACCGTGAGGTTTAAATACTGTAGTCTTAACTCGTAACTGATACCTCTGAGCTCTGCGATTAGTCAGTGTGGCCTTCTCCACCTGGGTTTTGTGTTGGACTAGCTAAACACCACCACGCTGGAGCCATATATTCCAGAAATAGTCTGACATATGTGGTGTGCATATATATATATATATATATATATATATATATATATATATATATATATATATATATATATATATATATATATATATATATATATATATATATATATATAATATGATCCTAAATGATATCATACAGAGATTTGATCTCCTTAATTAAGTTGGCCAAGCTTATTTACGCCGCTCTTGAGAGCCTGAATGATCCTTTGAAGAGTTTCAGCTTTCATTTGTCACCTTAAATCCCGCGTCGTCCTGTTCAGAACGACCAGTTGAAGCGCCCTGCTCGAGTGCTCGAGTTAAAGTAGCCATTTGATGGGCCATTATTTCCCTATGTATAGGACCTCCAAGCTGCGTTTCTTCGGATTAATCCTATTCATAATTTTTGCAAGACACACTTGTTATGCTCAGACTTTACAGTACACATGTCTATGTTACACTACACATGTCAATGTTACACTACACATGTCTATGTTACACTACACATGTCAATGTTTACCGAGTAAGCACTTGTGGCTGATCGAAGATTAAGCACGTTACCCAAAACACAAAAATAGATGTGCCTGCTAGTACGTGCTGTTATGACACAGAAGTCTATAGTCTTGCTGGGCTGATAGGTGAGATAGAGTCGTCAAGGACTGCCATGACACTTGCAGTTCAATCACTGTGTGTTCAGCCGTGACACGAGAACAAGGTTAATTGTTAAATGTATTGTATGTAATTGCACATTTTTTTCTTCTCCTACGGTTCGTGTCTTTTGTAATTGTTCTTGACTGAGATGTTGTAAAGTGATGTTCGGTTATTATGAGCGTAGACACAGCCAAGTGCAACCCTTCATGTCATTATCGTACACACGCGAATTTTGTAGGTGGTTATCATGTCTCCCCTTACAGAAGAGTAAGGGGAAACATGATAACCACCTACAAAATTCTCAGGGGAATTGACAGGGTGGACAAAGACAAACTCTTCAGCACGGGTGGGACACGAACAAGGGGACACAGGTGGAAACTTAGTACCCAGATGAGCCACAGGGGCATAACAAAGAATTTTATCAGTGTCAGAGTAGTTAACAAACGGAATGCACTAGGCAGTGATGTGGTGGAGGCTGACTCCATACACAGTTTAAAATGTAGATATGATAGAGCCCAATAGGCTCAGGAATCTGTTGATTGACAGTTGAGAGTCAGGACCAAAGAGCCAGAGCTCAATCACCATAACCACAACTAGGTGAGTACAACAAGGTGAGTATACACAAAGAAAAAAAACATTGTTTGGGGAATGAGTATACTCGTTAGTTGTTACAAAGTAATGAGGTTTATCCGGAGTCTACAACCCCCCCCCCCTTTTCTCCCAGCAACCTCCTCCCTCTCCACCCCTCCCGAATCCCCACCTCCCCGTTCCACACTCCCCACCAAGTCCCAGGCACTCACCCCCTCCCCCCAGCCCCCCCCCTTCTTTTAATCCTTCCCTCCTAAACTCTTTCTACAGGACATCCGCTATCCCCCACCCCGTTTTAAGGGCCCCCCCTCCCCCTCTTACTTCCTCTCCCCTTCTCTTAATCCTGACCCCCCCTCCCCCCCTCCCCCCCCTCCCCCTCCCCCCCTCACCCCCTCCCCCCCCCCTCCCACTGTGTTAGTGTCACGTGTGTTGCAACTTCCGGCGAGACGCCAGATTTGTGGGAACTGTTGTCACCCTGGATGACACTGTGAATGTTGCCCGCACGTTACTGTTGGTGTTGACCACTGACGGCTGGTGTGAGGTGACGCATGCATGCTGTGTACGTCACACACACACACACACACACACACACACACACACACACACACACACACACACACACACACACACACACACACACACACACACACACACACACACAGTTGAAGGGAATTGATAGGGTATAAAAAGAGTCTATTTAACACAAGGGGAACACGCACTAGGGGACACAGGTGGAAACTGAGTGCCCAAATGAGCCACAGAGATATTAGAAAGAACTTTTTTAGTGTCAGAGTGGTTGACAAATGGAATGCATTAGGAAGTGATGTGGTGGAGGCTGACTCCATACACAGTTTCAAGTGTAGATATGATAGAATTCGATAAGCTCAGGAATCTGTACAACAGTAGATTGACAGTTGAGAGGCGGGACCAAAGAGCCAAAGCTCAACCTCCGCAAGCACAACCAGGCGAGTACACACACACGCACGCGCGCGCGCGCGCTCGCCCGCCCGCTAAAATACTGGGTCACAGACGAGCCCAGCTGAGAGGCTTTCTCTGTCTCGCCATCTCCAGCTTGTGCAGCGTCAGGATGGAAAACTATCGACATGAGGCGACTGATAATGGCGATAAGGATCTGCGGCGGGCGTCCCAGGGACCCCCCCCCCCGCCCCCCGCCTGGGTGTGTACACACCTGCGGGTGATCGAGAGACCAAGTGACGAACTGGTGCAGCTGTGTGGCCGGCGGCCCTCGCTGACCCACACCCGTCAGCGCTCCTCGCCTCCTGTGCTCACCGTTCACAGTGTGCCGCAGGTGTGCTCACAGTGTGCCGCAGGTGTGCTCACAGTGTGCCGCAGGTGTGCACACAGTGTGCCGCAGGTGTGCTCACAGTGTGCCGCAGGTGTGCACACAGTGTGCCGCAGGTGTGCTCACAGTGTGCCGCAGGTGTGCACACAGTGTGCCGCAGGTGTGCTCACAGTGTGCCGCAGGTGTGCACACAGTGTGCCGCAGGTGTGCTCACAGTGTGCCGCAGGTGTGCACACAGTGTGCCGCAGGTGTGCTCACAGTGTGCCGCAGGTGTGCACACAGTGTGCCGCAGGTGTGCTCACAGTGTGCCGCAGGTGTGCACACAGTGTGCCGCAGGTGTGCTCACAGTGTGCCGCAGGTGTGCACACAGTGTGCCGCAGGTGTGCTCACAGTGTGCCGCAGGTGTGCACACAGTGTGCCGCAGGTGTGCTCACAGTGTGCCGCAGGTGTGCACACAGTGTGCCGCAGGTGTGCTCACCTGTATGCCGCAGGAATACTGTGTACTGTAATAAGAGCAAGGACGGCGTACTAACCTGAGGATAGGTGTCTTCCCCCCCCTCACCTACACGGTACACGGTACACGTATAAGAACCTTACTCACAAAGGAACGTTGCTGGTGGTGGTGGTGGTGGTGGTAGTGGTAGTGCTGCTGCTGGTGGTGGTGGTAGTGCTGCTGGTAGTGCTGGTGGTGGTGGTGGTGGTAGTGCTGCTGCTGGTGGTGGTGGTAGTGCTGGTGGTGGTGGTGGTGGTAGTGCAGGTTATTGTGGTGGTGCCAAGGCTTCTCTGATGGCACTATAGCTTGTGCGAGCATACCTAAACCGCGGGTCATGAGCCGGAGCGCCACACACCTGCCGGTCCTTATAGCAACACTCACACCGCTCGGGATCTTCACCTTGTGGTCACCACCAGCAGGAATCCTCTGCATTAAGTGTGAGGACAGGCTGCGAGAGAGTCGGCTGGGACTCCCGGTATGGTCAGATACCACAACACCAGAGCCGGTATCTCCTGTACTGTAGTAGGCTATAGAACACCCGTCCCATGCGTCTGATACCCGTCCCACGCGTCTGACACCCGTCCCACGCGTCTGACACCCGTCCCACGCGTCTGACACCCGTCCCACGCGTCTGACACCCGTCCCACGCGTCTGACACCCGTCCTACGCGTCTGACACCCGTCCCACGCGTCTGACACCCGTCCCACGCGTCTGACACCCGTCCCACGCGTCTGACACCCGTCCCACACGTCTGACACCCGTCCCACGCGTCTGACACCCGTCCCACACGACTGGCACCCGTCCCACGCGTCTGACACCCGTCCCACGCGTCTGACACCCGTCCCACGCGTCTGACACCCGTCCCACGCGTCTGACACCCGTCCCACGCGTCTGACACCGTCCCACGCGTCTGACACCCGTCCCACGCGTCTGACACCCGTCCCACGCGTCTGACACCCGTCCCACGCGTCTGACACCCGTCCCACGCGTCTGACACCCGTCCCACGCGTCTGACACCCGTCCCACGCGTCTGACACCCGTCCCACGCGTCTGACACCCGTCCCACGCGTCTGACACCCGTCCCACGCGTCTGACACCCGTCCCACGCGTCTGACACCCGTCCCACGCGTCTGACACCCGTCCCACGCGTCTGACACCCGTCCCACGCGTCTGACACCCGTCCCAAGTGTCTGACACCCGTCCCAAGTGTCTGACACCCGTCCCACGTGTCTGACACCCGTCCCACGCGTCTGACACCTGGAATACCAGGAATTGGCAACCTTTCATGTGAAGAGAGACGAGAAAGTTTAATTTGCATTCACTTGAAAGGGTGGGAGTGGGAGGCGACATGATTGGAATATTAAAGATATCAATAGAAATAGAACGTGATTACGATATAGAAAATACTTGAGAGAATTAACAGAGAGGGACCAGAATAAGACCCCATGTAGTTAGCTATAAAATGGTGGGGGATGGTGGGGGGGGGGGGGGATTGGCACCTGATTTGGGATTGTGTGTGCCCTTGTAGCAGGGTTAGGTCAGCCTGGAGATGTTGTGTCCGCACATGGGGTATGTGCAGGATAGGTCACTGCCAAATTAAATTATCTCAAGATAACCTCGAGTACTAACCTGTGCGAGTCCCAAGCCGACCAAGTGGAAGGATGGAGAGCTTAGCGCTCAGCTTAGAGATTGTTCTTAAGCAGGAAGTGGAGAAAGTAAAGAAGTAGGAAAACAAGAAAGAATGAGCAACAAGGAATGAGACAATGAGAGCTCGCACGGTACAAATCCATGTCCACCCCCTTTGGATTATGGCATATAAATGAAGGGTAAAGCTAGATAATTCAATTATCACAGTAACGGGTGAGCAAATACTCGCCTGATTATCACTGCATAAACATGCACATGTCATGCCTTGTTGGCCAGTGGTGGGCCAGGCCAGGCAGAGGATGGCTATAACAAGTATGACCCCCGAGTGAAAGTTCAAGAGGGAGACGGGCGGGAAGAGGAAGAGACAGCACCGCCAGGAGAGGAAGTACACGTGTCTTGTTGGTGGTCCCCCCCCCCTTCCTTTGCCCCCCCCCCCCCCGCCTTCCATTGATCCCAGCCCCCACCCCCCAACTTGCCTTGCAATTTTGCACACGGCCAAATTGTTGAATTTCTCCACCTTCCTGATCATTCTCCTCTAATATCCTCTCTCTCAGCCTCATACTAACACCGGCGCTTTAGTTGAGGCAGGTCGGTGACGTCGAGGTTCATGTAGCATATTACATCCTCCTGTTGTGATGCCTCGGCGGGTCAACCATCCATATTTGTCCACAGTCACAAGTAATAATTTGTCTGCACGGATTGTTGTCTCCTTGTGGCGTGTGAGGTGTTGTTAGGCTCTCAGTGGTGTCCACCTCAGGTACCGTCTCACTCAACCACCCTCTCACTTCTCACTTTCTTAACAAGAAATGAATTTCTTCTGCAATTTAATTCCCTTGCTTTCTCCGTACTGTTCGTCCAACCCGTTCTCGCACTTGCTTATAGTCAATATTGGCTTATTTAATAAGTGCATATGTGGCATACTAATTGATTGTAAATATTTTAGTTTACCTTGAAAAGCTTCCTAGAAAACACCAACCTTACCTAACCTTCTTAGTATGTTAAGATAAGCATCTTATTGCTTCTTAATTACAATTATTACTTAACCTATCGTTTGTCACTGTCTACCTTTCAATAGATTCCTTTCAGTTCACCCGTGTCTTTACCTATACACTTTTAACACTAGTTTTCCTTTCACCGATTCCTCCCCTTTTTTAATATTAGAAATTATATTGAACCGCCCAATGTTTTCCCAGCTTTTACATCTTCCAATTATTCTGTAATCTGCTGTGAGCTGCTTCATGTCGAGCCCCTCAAGTAGTGTAACCCTTGTCAGCATCTTCTCCTTACCTAAGTATCTTCTTACCTTACCTTAATATCTTCTCCTTAGGATTACCCCGCCAGATTCCCGAGGGAGTGTAATTGTCTTGAGCGAACAACTGATAACACACTTGTTTCACTCTACCCTGCAGGCGTGGTTGGTGCGCCTGTCCTCTGTACGGCTAATGACCCTTATCTGTTGAAAACTAACATGAGAGATAAACAGGAGAAAGGACATAAAGAGTCACAGACAGACAGACAGATAGACACAGACAGGCAGACACAGACAGGCAGACAGACAGACAGACAGACAGACAGACAGACAGACAGACAGACACAGACAGACAGACAGACAGACAGACACAGACAGGCAAGCAGATAGACAGGAAGACAGGGAGTGAGGCGGGTAGTACAATAATAATCAGGGAAATAATCTTGTAAGAGATGAGGCTGAATCTATCTGGCTTTCTCTCACTAACCTAAATAGCTACATCTCAAGAGTTTAGAAACTGTGTGTGTGTGTGTGTGTGTGTGTGTGTGTGTGTGTGTGTGTGTGTGTGTGTGTGTGTGTGTGTGTGTGTGTGTGTGTGTGTGTGTGTGGCTGTGTGTGTGTGTGTGTGTGTGTGTGTGTGTGTGTGTGTGTGTGTGTGTGTGTGTGTGTGTGTGTGTGTGTGTGGCTGTGTGTGTGTGTGTGTGTGTGTGTGTGTGGCTGTGTGTGTGTGTGTGTGTGTGTGTGTGTGTGTGTGTGTGTGTGTGTGTGTGTGTGTGGCTGTGTGTGTGTGTGTGTGTGTGTGTGTGGGTGTGTGTGTGTGTGTGGCTGTGTGTGTGGGTGTGTGTGTGTGGCTGTGTGTGTGTGTGTGTGTGTGTGTGTGTGTGGCTGTGTGTGTGTGTGTGTGTGTGTGTGTGTGTGTGTGTGTGTGTGTGTGTGTGTGTGTGTGTGTGTGTGCGCATCATAGTGCGCTTGTGCGCATCATAGTGCGCTTGTGCGCATCTGTGTGCGCTTGTGCGCATCTGTGTGCGCTTGTGTGCATCTGTGTGCGCTTGTGCGCGTCCTCGAGGTTGATGGGTCTCTTAAGGTTGATATCACACGGACACTGTCTCCCGAGGTCCACATGAAGCAGATATCACCAGCGGTGTCCGAGATTGGCCAATATAAGAACTGGAAATCTAAATAACGATTCATTCAGGATACTTTGTACCATGTAAGTTATCAGGCCATTTTGTACCACATAACGTTAGCTCAATACTGGGATATGCAGCGTGTCCAGGTCGTTCTTATCAAACAGAAAACGAAACTGGAGAAGTCTAGGAGAGACAGTGTTGCTACACAGACACAGTTCTGTGTCTGTAGTCAGGGAAGACAAGGCCAGACTCATTGGGTGGTACACGGACATGTGACACAGAAACTAGCCTAAGATCCCGTATGAGCCACAGAGATACTACAACAAATATTATTAGGGGTAGTAAAGAGGTGGAGTGCGCCAAGAATGTTGTTGTTTAATGATTCGCTACCTGGAACAAAAAGTTCCAAGCAGCACTGGCTATGGTGAGCCCGTAAACGCCAAGAAGCGATGGTGGTGGAGGCTTCCATGCGCAGCTTCATGTATGACAGAGCTTGACAAATGCCTGGAGACCTGGGCCCAGAGTCACGAAGCAGTTACGCAAGTACTTACGATCGTGAACATCTTTCCTCAATCTTTGACGGCTTTGGTTACATTTATTAAACAGTTTACAAGCATAAAAACTTGCCAAATCAACTGGTGTTATTGTTATAAACAGCCTCCTGGTGCTTCGGAGCTCATTAACTGTTTAATAATTGTAAACAAAGCCGCCACAGATTGAGAAAAGATGTACAGGTTCGTAAGTGTTTGCGTAACTGCTTCGTGAATCTGGAGACCTGTAGAGCGGTGGTGTGAAGGTGGCGAGACAGTGCTATAAGGCCATGTAGCTCGACTCCTGCACACACACACAGTCAGGTGAAGACGCCGACGCTGGTGACTAACACCCAGGTACCTATTTAACTGCTGGGTAACAGGGGCATGGTGAAAGAAACTCTGCCCATTGTTTCTCGCCGGCGCCCGGGATCGAACCCGGGACCACAGGATCACAAGTCCAGTGTGCTGTACTGAGGGCCGACCGG